CTCATCTTGTGCCAGGTGCAGGGTCTGCTGGCTGGGTGCTGGCAGACTTGCAACTGGAACAAACACTGTAGCCAGACCGTGGCCCTTTAAGAGCTCCGGGGCCGGGAGGGGGGCAGGAGAGTTTTACTGGCTTGGCCCAGAATGGCCACCAGGGCTAGCTGGGGAGGGCTAGCCTCCACCTAGTTTGAATTAAGTCGCTACACAGCCCTTAATTTTGACTACTTAATTCGAACTAGGCGTTAGTCCTTGTAGAATGAGGTTTACCTAGTTCGAATTAAGCGCTCCGCTAGTTCAATTTAAATTCGAACTACCAGTTTGCATGTGTAGCACCTATGAAAGTTAATTCGAACTAACGACTGTTAGTTCGAATTAACTTTGCAGTGTAGACATAGATAGTTAAGTCCCCATACTTTGGAAGGTTATGGAATCCCCATCATTGGAGGTTTTCAGAAGAACTTAACTTTCAGGGATTTTCTAAGATACTTAATTCTGCTTTAATGTAGGGAGATGGACTACATGATCTCAAGTTCATCGCCAGCCCTACATTTCTAAGATTGTGTGTTCCCAGCTCACCAATGTGAACATGTTCTTACTTGGAAATAAAATGCAAACTCCTACCATTGCAAACTGGTCATTGTGACCATTTCCATCTGCTTCACACGTCACATATCTCAACACCATACTTCTAAATCCTTCCTGACATTTATGTTGGAGTGAGAGAGTGTTATATCTTTTTATATTTGTAATTTAGGTTTAATAATGTAGTAATGTAAGGTAACATATTTAACGTTTAACATTTTATTAATTAAGCTCTTTAGTTAAATGTACATGTCTTTGTTTTAAAGTTTAGTGAGTTTAGTAAGTCAAGAGACAGAGTTTTGGTATTGTGTCTATGTTAATGAGATTAGAGGAATGCTGAAAGCTGGAGTTTTAATTGTTTGATTTACAATGTCTTTTTCTTTGCTCAAAATGAGATGCTGTTGTTTATGCTTTTCTTTGAAGGTCCTTGTAAAGATTGTTTATGGGTGAAAGTGTTATGTATGTGTCAAGATAAAGGTGTGAAGGTCATCCTCAGAGCCAGATGGCCAAGGAAGGAGGGGTGATACGGGTGAAGACAGACTGACTGGCATCAGAAGAACCATCACTGTGTATCCAAGGTCAAGGATTGACAGATTGATAGCTCTACAGCAGGCATGTCCAAAGTCCGGCCCGCGGGCCAATTCCGGCCCGTGTTCTGGTTTAATACGGCCCCACAGGTAATTTGGCAATATCTATCTTTTATGGCCCCCAACGAATCCATATGTATTGAGATGAATACATTGTAAAATCTCAGTTAATGTCAGTTGGTCTAAATCAGTTATAAATATATTTGGACACAACATGTATACTTGGTGTTATGTTCCTGTTCATATTTTTTGAACTTAAAAGTTGACAGACAACCTTTATTACCAATAATATGTAATGTACTTTACAATGTTCCTGACATATATTTCAGCTTCCTGGATTTTTTTTTCATCTGGCCTTCAGATATGAAAGGCAGAGTGATTTAACACCTGTTTAGATTTGTCATCCATGTGACGAAATGAAAAGTATGCCGTTTGCAATAAACTTTGCATAAAATAGTTAATTTGCATTTAATTTTAATGGTTCAAAGAATGTCAGGCAAAATGGTCGGCCCTCACGCATGTTCACTTCATCAAATCTGGCCCTCTTTGAAAAAAGTTTGGACACCCCTGGCTTAAGTGCAAGCATTGACCCAGATTGACGATAGTCTTATCAGAGTCGCCAGCCTGCACAGCACTTACGCTAGGTTTCTGTCTTATTGTAACTTTACAGTAAAGGACAATTGTTTATAGAATGAGCTTTTCAGAGAACAAGGAAAGAGGATTATAAAAGCAAGGTGCCTTGCTATGGGTCTTTGGGTTCATCTTGCCACCAACTCCAGGAGAGCATCGGATTGTGACCGACAAAGGCCCTGCTCCCACTCTGTGATCGACCTAGCTGGCCACTAGATTGATCCAGGCTCTGGACTGGTAACTATGACATCGTCTTGCGGGACTGTTTGTCTGTGAGTGATTTAAAAGCATTTGCAACTGTTGTATTCTCAATAAATGTGGCGTATTGCCTTTTCCCCATAAAGGATTTTGTGTGCTTCGTTTAAGATATTGCACCCTAAGTGCACAGTACTCTTGACTAGAAATATGGGATACCGCTTAATAAAAAGGCACTCCTCCAAAGGAAGGTTTATTTATTTATTGTGCCAATTTTGTAGACTATTCTGTTGTGAAATACCCCAGAGTGATAGATCCTTAAAACCAGAGGATAGTAACTAAGAAACCTAAAGCAAGAAAATCACCAGAAAAATCTGGAAGATTTTGTGCTCTGATGCTTTCCTCACTAATGCACTTGGGGAGAGGAGTCCATCCTTCTTTGAGGCACTGTATAGCCCCCTTTTCATTTTGTTCTGGAATCATGTGATCACCTGTATGTAAAGTAATAATAATCCCCAGAAAGTTCTTAAGATTTTGTGCTCTGGTGCTTTACTCACTAATGCACTTGGGGAGAGGAGTCCATCCTTCTTTGCGGCATTGTATATTCCCCTCCTCATTTCCTTCAGGTGTCGTGTAACCAGCCAGACACCTGTCTGTATCTTCTTCATTTAAATCAAATCTGTCCTTATTTTGGGTGTAATAACCATAGTCTATCTAAGCTTTTTCACGTTTCTAAAATAGAGAATGACATTACCTGAAGATAAATACTGTTAATTCTTCAGGTGGTTTTTTTTGTAAGAATCAGCTGACTATAGAAGAGGTACATCTGAAATGAAATGGAGCATCACTATTTTAAAAGTTTTTGAACAACCCACTCCTTCAGACTTTTGAAAGTGGGAGAGGAACACAAGAAATCATCAGCGTGCATGCCAGTGTTTCTTGTCTCTCAGATCATTCCTGATACTGACTTGCCAAAGCTAATCTCAAGAATGGTTGGGCTGAAAATGGTTATTTTGGTTCCAACACTGCTGGCTCTTATTTTGTGAGAAAAGTTTTGCCTTTTTATTCTGTGCTGATGATGGGAAGCAGCTTCATAGTTTATGCACCTGACAAATCATAAGGGGCTCATCAGTGAGAAAGACAGTGATGAAATATCATTATCACTTAATCTGCCTTCTTCAGGGACAGCCTTTTTCCCACTGCAGTACTTCCACAGTTGTGATCAATACAACATACATACTGGATCCCCTCAGTTTGAATGACAGGATGTAACCAACAGGATATTATCCATGAGAGGCATTCACATTTTGGAATTCCCTCCAGGATATTATTTTCTTAAACCCCAGAAACATGCTCATCTTGTCACAGAAGACAACGACATGCCTCATACATATTCCAAGGTCTTCACAATCTAACTTTTAGAAATAACACAGCAAATGGGGGGTGGCAGATAGCGGGAAACAGCTGGGTGAAGAAGTTTGAGAGTTACAAAAATACAGTCATGGCATTGGCATGTCAAGTCACCTGATAGAACTAGTATTTTTGAATGTATATTAGGCATGTCTACAGTTTTTTAACCAGCCCCTCAATAGAAGATAAATATTGCTTACTTTTATAGATACATCTTGGAGGAGGCATCCAGTTATTCTTTGTACATACAGCTTTGGCTTCTGGATTTTCAGGTCTATAATCATGCCAACATTCATATGAAATTTCATCATCTTCTTTATATCTCCAATAACGAAGTAGAAAATGGCCATTTGCTAAATAATTAGTATCACATATTTCTAAAAAAAGGGAAGAAAAGATGTGAGTTCAGGGAGCAAATGAAAGTCAAACATTTAACAAAGAAAAAAAGAAAACAAAAATAAACTAATCACAGTTGAGGAATCACCTGCTAAGGTGGAGGAGGAAAAGCCTGGTCCCCCCAAGACTGGGAGGTCTGCAGCCACAACTCCCAGGAGGAACCATAGGGGAGTGGTGATTGGGGACTTTTTTTGAGGGGGATGGGATCACTCATCTGACATCCTGATATGGCATTCCAAGTGCTATATGAGACATTAAAGAGGGATTGTCAAGGAATATCTGAACCTCTGATTACTACCCCCATGCTACTAACCATTGTGGGCACTAAAACTATTGTGAGGCATGACCCTCAGAAGATCAGAAGTGACAAGAGGGCTCTGGGAGAAAGAGTGAAGGGGTTGGGAGAATCGGTGGTGTTCTCTTCTATCTTTTCAGTCAATGGTTGGAGTGGAAGAAGAGACAGATGCATCCTGGTAATACTGGCTGCAAAGTTGATATCAAAAGGAGAGTTTTGGCTTCCTTGACCACAGGATCTTGATCCAGGAAGAATAAGCAGTAAACAGAGATGGGGGTCACCTATCAAGGAAGGGGAAGAGCATATTTGGATACAGACTGGCTAACTTAGGGTATGTCTACACTACAAAGTTAGTTCGAACTAATGGACATTAGTTCGAACTAACTTTCATAGGCACTACACTAGCACTCCATTAGTTCGAATTTAATTCGAACTAACGGAGCGCTTAGTTCGAACTAGGTAAACCTCATTCCACGAGGATTAAGCCTAGTTCGAACTTACTAGTTCGAATTAAGGGCTGTGTAGACCCTTAATTCGAATGAGTGGGAGGCTAGCCCTCCCCAGGTTTCCCTGGTGGCCACTCTGGCCAACACCAGGGAAACTCGTCTGCCCCCTCCCGTCCCCGGCCCCCTTAAAGGGGCACGGGATGGCTACGGTGCCCGTGCCAGGTGCAAGCCTGCCAGCACCCAGCCAGCAGACCCTGCACCTGGCATGGCTCGAGCCAGCCACCCGCTGCCCCCCAGCCCTCCGCCTCTTCCCGGGCCCAGGCTGACGGCTCCCGGGCGGCCGCCCAAGGCCGCACAGGGGGGG